CATTATTTCTCGTAACGCTTCTTCAACAGTAGCCACGTGGTCCGAATGCCAGAACCATTCACTGTCTTCCCTTTTCTTCATTGATTCTTCATATTCGTGTCCGAGATTTGATGAGGTCTCTAACGATATTCCTATTTTTTCTAATCCTGCTTTTTCTAACAATCTCTTTTTCACTTCATACTCTTCTTTTTGTACAATTTCACTCGCTGCATTTGGTAAAGCTGCCAACATTTGTTTTATAAGATAATGAATCATGTTGAAAATATGTTCAGTGAACCAGATAAGAGCAATGACAAACACCACTGAAAAAGGAGATTTAAAGGCATGGGTTTCCGGATGGTATAAGTAGATAAGAGATGGGTTTGTAATTGATGAAAACCATGTAAGGATCACCTGTAAAATGTATAAAATGTAAATGTAATAAATTTATTAATTAATTTGAAGGCAAATAATAATAATAATAATCAAATATATAAAAAAAAAAGGTTTAGTATTTATTTAAACATACCAAATTTTCAAGCCATGGCCCAATACTATCAGCTCTCTTGGGAATTGGTCTCCTTGTATGTTCGCATAATTTTATCGCATCAGAACGGAGTTCGACCCAGTTATTTACAAACGCGAATACTGGAGTCAATGGCCAAATCGAAGAAAACAAGCTAACGTAGCCATACTGTAGAGAATAATCATATTAAATTACCGACTTAAAGATAGAATAAAAACAAATATAGATAAATACCTGAGTTATCATTTCCGCATAGTCTGTATAGATTTCATAAACTGGCAACTTCACTTCTTTCCTAACTCTCTTTAAGAAAGCCGATTCATCTTCATTTCTTCCACCATCTTTAGTAGCACCATTATTTTTAATCCTTTTCATACTGAATGAACCAAATCGAAACAAATATGGCAAGACGAGTTCCATGAACAAATTCAATATTTGAGCAGTTAGAATAAAATATTTTAATTCATGCACGAGCCTTTCCGGACCGACTTTCTTCATAGTAAACGAAAAACCAAACCAATTGAAAAATTCTTGGAAAAAATAAGCAATTTCCGTATTGAATGGGACATAAATCCACCCAATAAAGAGTATTGACAAATAACTAATTAGGAAATTGGCAACGAAAATTTTTTGAGTCAAATTGAACTCATAGCGTGATTCTGTTTCATAATTTTCATAGTCATTTAATCGTTTTGCGATTTTGATATAGGTACTATTTAAAGTCGGGATTAGAAGACAGTATATAATGGTCGGGAGGAACATCTTAATAATAAAGAAATAGTAGGAAATATTAAAAAAAAAATAATAATAATAGAAATCAAACATTGATATCACATATATAAATATACCAATTGATCTCTGAACGGTCCTGAGTAATATTCAGACATGATGACCTCAATCATTATGTAAAAGAGTAGAGACAATGATAAAGTTAAGCTAAAAATGAGGATTACAGGTGCCACAACGGCTCTCCTTAGCCATCTTTTCCATGGAGAAAAGTAAGGAACTTCTTCACCAGTAATAGGATTTTTAATAAAGCATTCAGCTCTAAATTCAGGTCTGCGTCTTTCTACACGTGAGAAATGACGAACACCCCACTCGACAGCCAATTCATACTCTTTACGACGCCAGAATTCGACAAAGATAACTGACCAAAGGGTAATGAATATGCTGAATGGTATTGAATATTTAGCACCAGAAAAATGGGTCACTAATCCGGCAATTGATGGTATAATAAGCCATGTAAAATAAAATTGGAGGAACGCAAAATAATATGCAATCTAGAAGACAAAACCGGTTAACGTCAAATAACAATGGTTAACAAAATGCTAAAAAAAAAAATTTGGATTGATTACTTTTTCACCAAAATGATTTCTTAACCGAAGTAGGTCATCTTTATCAATCATCCATTTCGTTGACCAGGTTTTTATCCAATCCTTAAAGAAAAATAATCAAAAAAAAAAAAATTTAGATAACAGGAAAAAGAAAGACAGTGTATAAAAAAATTTAAGGAAACTAAAGAATAACCTCGTTATAGGATTTATCTTGAAGAGGTAAAAAATCTTCAACCAATTCAAACTCTTTTAATC